ATTGCACCTCGTACGTCATTCAATGTCAGTCATTGAAAAAAGATCAAGCGTCCAATCAAATCACAGGCGACCCCGAAAAATTGGGAGCCAACTTTTAAAATGTGAAGAACGCAAGGCGACTTTCATTTGCATGTACATGCGTTGACTGTATCCCGTCAATACAATACTAGTCGAATACGTAGACTTCTACAGGGCCTTCTAAGTAATGCGCGCGGGGTATAATTCAAACCTCTGCCCCCATCCGTACCATTACCCCTAAAAGCAAGTCGTCTCCAGGAGACGAAATTGCCACGAGGGCCAGGCTCTACAAGTAAAAGAAAAACGGAAATTCAGGTTCCGTAGGTACAGCATAGAACTAAGAAAGAGCCACCAACCAATTGCTTAGTTAGTACAAAATGAATGCGGCAAGTCCCGCTAGAAGAAGAACCGCAGAGGATACGAATAATGGAGCTGGACTTATTGCAGCACTCGCAGGAGATTCGGTAGCTGCCACTGCAGGCGCTTCGGTAGCTGCTGCAGGAGGCAACGGCAAGGTTGCCACTTGCTGGCCAAATAAATTGGGAAGAATCAAAGCCGGTTGATCCGGAGTTTTCAAATCGAGTTGCATATCGGCGGCCACCGATCCCACCGAAAATGGTTCACACGTACTGGTACTATCACACTCAAAGACCGTCCCATTCCACGGGGGCGCCGCGGAAAATTGCCACACGGAGACGTATAATTTGCCATTCCAAAACACAATGCCGTCCCCAAAACTAGGTGGACCTTGCGCAGTGCTCGTCAAGGCAACAATATCTAGGGAGAAGGGTTCTGTGTTTCCCACCTCGGACTTGGCGATATCGTACTTGGTGATACCCGCTTCTGTACGGTGTACCATCCAAACTGTGTTGCCTTGTACCACACATCCGTTGGGAGACTGACCTTGTCGCCGGAACACCAACGTCATGGTTGGAGTATTATCTCCAAAGTCAATTTGCAGCAGGGCATTGGCCAGTGGATCCGTCACAAACATGGTGGATTCGTCGTCTGACAAGCACAAACCATTGGGTGCCGAGATGTAGTCGCTCGTATTGTACAATTGCTTGAGACGGAGGCTGCTTTGAGCTTGATCCACAAACTCCAGCTCGGCCACAGCGCCATCATGAGCGGCCCAGATTGTGTCGCCGGCACCATTCATGGCAAGTCCACGAATGTTGGTAAAGTTGGGCGCTGTAAAACTCATATCTCGATTTCCCTCCAAATCATACTTGAGAATGGCAGCTCCATCGCGGTTCATTTGACCCACATAGTAGGCGGATGATGTCGACACGGCACTTTCCGGATTGCCGGGAGTCACAAAGCTTACTGCTCCGTACGCCGGTGAGGAAGCTGCCAGGATGATTAGAAACGAACCGACTGCGCAGGGCCGGAAGGGCGCCCGAGGGAGGGAGGGCGCTGGGCGGAGCCCAAGCCCGACTGACCGAGGGAGCCCGATGGAGCGAGGGCGCTGGGCGAAGCCCGAGCCCGAGCGGCCCTGCGTAGATGGTTCCCGTTTCGAATGGAACGAGAACCGGCTGGTTTTGTATACACGGGCTTATTCATTTACACTGTATTACTAGTAAGCTCCAATTTTCTCGTCTCGCTGTTATTGTTTTCCTCATCGGCCGTTGAACAATTGACAATGGTGTCCACTCGAGGTCAATGCGGCGCCATCAAGGCCAGAGGAAGGTCTCTTTGTTCGCAGATAGATGCCATACAACAAGACACAGAAGATGGACAGTTGGTGTTCACTCAAATCGCCGAAGAAGAGGAAGAAGAAGAAGAAAGAAGCACCCAAGAGACAGTTCGAGACAAACCCTCTTCTTCTTCTTTGACCTATGAACAGCGACTGTCACACCCTGATGCTGCAGAGTTCATAGTCAAGCACTTTGACTCTAGTAGCAGTGAAGAGAGTGAAAATGAAGAAGAGAGTTCCAATCTCATGTCACAGCGACTCACCCTTCATTCTTCCGATGAAGACATCTCACCAAAACCAGTACAGCAGACCGTCAATCGCACCAGGGCACAAGTAATCAATCATCAAGTGTCTCAAGGAGAAGCTGTTGTGGTTGCTACCAGAACCTGTGAGCCTTTCCATCCTTCCAGACAGCTCTTGACACAAGTGAAATTTGAAAATGGCGTAGAAGATTGGAAGAACATGGCGGATCGCGCAGAGAATGAATTCGAAGAAGCCACGTCGGTTCCTACTGCAACTCAACTGGAAGGGGTTGGTCTTCTTCTTGGTCTGGCCCAACCACCGCCACAACCAGAACAGCACACACGGAAGGAGAGACTTCGAACGGCGAATGAAATCCGCAAAGAAGAAGCCATTGCACAAGTCAAAGAACATGGTCCATCCCATAGATTCATGGCACAAGATCTGGAATTGGGAGAAGATTCAGAAGATCCAAGCGCTTTCGCCTTTGTTCCCACAGTACCGCCAACCAGAAAGTCCTCCTTCAACCCACAGAACCCATATCAAAAGAAGAAGAAGAGTCCTCCTCCTCAACCAGTGGCAAAGTCAAAGGAGGACATCAGTATCGCGGACATAGTTCTTCAACTTGCCGATGAACATGGCTTTGATGGCCTGAGTGAAGAAAAGCAGAAACTTGTCAAGACAACCAAACGGGGCAAGAACACCAAGGAAACAGAGTCTCGAAAAGCCTCGAATGAGAAAAGGTTCTTTGAAGAGCTCAAGAATCACGGGGGAAAAGCGTTTGCCCCTCTTCTGGAAAAGGTCCCGGTCAAATACAATGGAATGAGTACCGATGAAGCAGCTTTAGACTATCAGTTCTTCAATGTTCTTGGATTTTCTCGCGACAAGAAGGCACATGCCATTCTCAATAAAGCTTGCATCGTGGTAGCCCTCAACCTCAACAAGAAGAAGGGGCGGAACAATACAGCTGGACAACCCTTCCAACCCAACTCTTTGGAACAATTCTTTCGCAATGCCTTTCTTATGTTGAAGCAGAAGGGTATTCAGTTCGATTTCGACAAAGACTTCAACAGAGCTGGTGAATTCCATGGAGTGATGAAGGAGTATTGGGCAGGAATTCTCAAAGTTGATCCAAAGTTTGCGACCAACACCGAGAAGCGCCGAATCAAGGAGAACGTGCTTGCCTTGGTTTGTAAGGCCGTGAGAGAAGGAGTAATCAAAATCACGAACCGGTATGATGTTTTTGAAGCCGTGCACTTCAATGGTGGCTTGTTCTTGTGTTTCCGTGGCAAACAGGACCATAAGAACACTCGAAAAGAGAATCTCCGCGGCGTGTATGATGATGATTTGGAAGATGAGGATGATGGCAATAAGCGACTCGGTGGAATTCAGTGGAGAGGGTTCTTTATTCCATTCTCAAAGACAAATCAGCTTGGCTTTGGTAACACCAGTCTTCCCCAGGAATCAGAAAGAATCCGGACCATGCGTGCCCATCCGCATCTTGAGTATGATCCAGTTGAATGGCACGACACATACGTTGCGCACATGCATCCGGACGCTGTTGGCTTCTATGCGTATCCATACACGGAGACCGAATCGAAGATTGAGAATGCGCGACTCAAACAGCGTGATATTGATTGGAACAAAGGTCATCCAGCGAATCCCCGTCCCATCATCGATTATGATGTATGGTACCGTCCCAGCAATCCAAACATTAGCAAACACGAGGGGAATCTTGGTCATAATCAGCACTGTCCCATCATCCAAAAGTTCTGCACCAGGATTGGAGTGCAAGATGCCGAAAAGGTTGCTTCCGGTCACGCCTTGAGGGCCAAAGCAGCTTGTACCATAATGAAGGGCGCTGGAGTTGATCCCCATGCCGTTGCCAGACAGATGGGTCACAAGAGCATTGACTCGCAAAAGCATTATACGGAGACCACGCAGGGAATGAAAGCGGACGTGTACAATGCCATTGCCAAAGGAGGTCGGAAGAAAGCAGTCGCTCAGAAGGAATCTCCAATTGTCTTGGATGTCGACACTACACCAGTTTCAAAGAAACCCCGTGTCAGCACTCTGAATACAGATGAGAGAAGGGAGTTAGAGGAATACCGACGTCAAGAGGATCCAGAAAGAAAAGAACTCGAGCGACTTCGCCGTAAAAGTATGGAAAACAAAGAGAACGTACCTCCGGTTGCTCCAGCCCCGTCCCTTGCCGGTCTTCCATACAACCCATATGGAATATTGTATCCGTCCGGGTATCCCGCTTATCCACCACCAGGGGTACCACCATATCATCCCCCGTTTCCAATGGGTCAGCTACCACCTCCACCTCCACCCCGAGTGCATGGAGTGTTTCATCCCCCGCCCCCACCCCCACCACCTCCACGAGAATTCGGAGAAAACAACAACTCGCGTAGAGTCGTCCCACCACCACCACCACCTCCACGATATCCGTATGTCCCACCAGTAAATCCACCATTGCCTACAAGGAATCATTTCGAAGGAACGAGTGAGTACCAATATTCAGTAAATCCACCATTGCCGGCAATGAACAATCTGGAACAAGAAAATGGACTTACCCCGGGCGATCATGGAGGTCAAGCGTATGGATGGACGGGATACTCCGGTCATGGTGGATACAATGGCGACGGTGGGTATGGGTATTAGCAATGAGACAGAATTCGATGGCTATCGCTTTTCGGTTGTGGTTGGTGGAAATTATGAGAGCAGAAGTGAGGAATGATTGGAGTAATCTTCAGTCGATCTGTCTATTTTCAGCCTTCGCATTGGTGTCGGATCAGTTCCTTCTCTCTTAATCATCCGTTAGCTAAGAACCCCACATGTGAGCAACAAACGTGGATAATCAATTTCTAAAACAACTGTATGTCATACCTTTTGCACTATAATTTGTTAGACCATGTTTGTTGCTGAAAGATACGGTTTATTGGGAAATTAAGCACGAGTCAAATCAACGCCCCAAAATCGATGCACATCAATGAAAAGCATCTACTCGGAACCCATTCGGAAGGCTTGCTATTCTTCAATATTCCAAAAAGTTGCCGCGATCAATTGGAAGAAGGTTGCTTCATTTAAATAGTATGACAATGAGCACCCTTCTAAATTTGACACGCAACAAGTTTGTATCGTACTTGATTTGTTGTTGACTCCTACTCATTGTTAAGTAGCAGCGAAATTTTTAACACATGGTCGCCAAACATTTGCAACCGTTTTGTGATGACGTGTCAATTTTAGGGTTAAAATTTAGGCGTTAACGGTCAAATCGGAGTGGGTCAGACCGACAGTTAAATACAAAACCTGCCGGTTCGTTCCGACAAGAAACAACGGAGCGAGACGAATCATGGTGGCAATAGTTAGTTAGTCTAGACAACGTCGTCTCGTCTGATATGTATGAGTGACAGTCGAGTATTGGGGCTGGGGCTGTGGAATCTTTTGAAGCTTTGCTTGGATCTTTGCTGCTTTTGTGTTGCTCTGGGTGTTTCTTCTAAAAACACACCCTCTCACTTATGGGACCGTTGGCCCCAGGTTTAACCGGTTTTGTATTTTTCAATAGTTAGCAGTAATTTATTTGACAGTTAGATGGTGGTTGTGAGGAGGCAACAAGGCAATGAACCAGCTGGAACGAGGCTGATACCTGGTAGTGAAACTGTAAGTCAAGTCAAGTGATCTTGGAACATAGGAACCTTCCTGCCATTTCAACCTTCCAAGCAAATAATCTTCACCATTCGTATTGCGCACTTGTACTGCTGGTGAAGCCTAGCTAGCTTGCTGGCTGGCTATTAATAGTATTGGAACTCCTGTGCAGGTTCGTTAGCAATGCATGATTGGACTTCAATAGCACACTTTATCGGTTGAAGTTGATTCATTCAGTTTGAAAGTTCTCTGACGTTTCGACGAACAGCCACAAGCCAAAGCTCTCTTCGGGACTTCGATGGAAGTCAAAGCAAAGGATTTTAAGCGGCAGAAGGCAGTAATATGATTGGTAGAGGAGTACCGTTAACTCAAGTAAGACACAGATAAGACACCATAATACATAGACACCAAGTGAGATGGTTTCACGTACCACTGTGCTACCAAGTTGTCATTTTCTTGTTGATCGAAACCGAAAAGAAAGATTCCATCCTCGACAATGACATGAAATGAGCAGCAAAGTCGGTCATAGCTGTGTCAAAGTTGCAAGTAGACGCTATCAAACACCTGCAAGATGCCAGGTAGACCTCCCTTAGTGAATCCGTACAAGAAGAAGCAACAGAATGTGGCTCAAAATGGTGAAAATCAGATCATGGGTAGGCAGAGTCAACAGCGGAATAGTCTGCAGAAGAGAACGTACCAGCTCGCAAGTAGCAACTCCAGCGGCAGCAATCAGAAGAAGAAGAAGAAGAAAGGAGAGCAACTGACTTTAGACGGAGGTGTCGCTTTCGATCCAATCAAGGACTGCGCCATCTGCAAAGTCTATGCACTGAGGAAGTCTGGATTAGACATCCGATTGCCGAAGCGAAGACATCACGCACTCTGCAGTAAGAATACACTGACAAAAGGAAAGGGCGAAGTTAGCGAGGTGGAAGCAAAAGAAATGGCGGAGCAAAAGAGACTCACCGACCTCTACAATACTCCTCTTCAGCCCCATGAAAAGGGAAGCTGGCGACATTCCACAAAAGAAGCTGGCATGGCTTTCTTTGCAGAGAGACCAAAAGCACTACCCAAAGCGCCACCACCACAAGCACCACCAGAGGCGGCACCCAAGGCACCACCCAAGGCACCACCTCCAAAGGTAGCGACAAAGTGCATTACACCTCAGCTCTTATGTCAGGCGGTCACAACCATGGTGAAAAAGACAGCCTTTGCTGAGAAACATCAGAATAAGGGCGCTCCTCTTGCAATGGTTGCATTTGCCCATGAGGTCGCAGAGAAAATCATCAGGCCAAAGAATGGTATGGATAGATTCTTCGAGGGCATAACAATGGTTGTTCCCGATGCCGAATCAATTGAGCCCCATTATCACTCGATCGTCGGACAAAAGCTGCTTCTAGTGGATTGGAATCGACTCGGAATTGAATGTCACTGCCCTCACAAACGATGTCAAGGCAGACTCAAGAACCACCGGACAAATTTCTCCAGAAACAAGACACTCTTTCCTATCTTTGGGATTGACGGTCCTCCGACATGGTGCATTGTCCAGTCAATGGTGTGCAGTATCTGCAAGAGCAGGTTTGATGCTAATTCGGCAGAAGTGCTGGTTCTCCTACCTCCACATGCGTCTATTCTTTATCCAGTAGAGCCAAAGTTTGCTCTGCCTAGAACAAGTCACCTGGCGAGAACTGCTACTGAGGTTTTTGATTCTATAATGTTGACGTATGGCAATGGCGAGTTATGTAGCAAGTTACTCTACAACGCAATCAACAAGCAGTTTCTTCTACGCATCACCTCTTACTACTCGATCCTCAAGGAAAAGAGAGAACAGTCAACCAATCTCGAACCAACTCCATACATTGCCAAGGACGGTGTGTACATCAGACAATATCCACCGCAAGGAGACACCCTTCGAGATATCTATGACGATGCATGCTCCACACGTAACAACATCTGGGGATTGAGTGATAAGGAAAGACACACACGCGAAATGCAGAGCGTTAGTTGCAAGGAAGGAATATTCTGTCAGGACCACACATTCCAAGTAGTGAAGAATTACCAAAAAAGCCTTGGGGCTGTTGCTGTTTGGGATTGTGCGACTTCAACTGGTGAGGTCGCTTGTGCTGTTCTTGTTGGGTCAACCAAAACAGTGGACTTTTCACATGCGTCCATGCAGCTTTCGAAGAGACCTCATTTTACACCAAAGGTCATGTACTCTGACACATGGCCAAACAAGAGCGAATACTGGTCAGGCCTATTCGACAACTTACAAGGAAGACTTGGCTTGTTTCACTTCGAAAAGCGAATTATCTCAACAATGAGAAAGCAACACATTGATTACATGGAGGCCATCAATGGTCTCTTGCGATGCCTGTATGCGTACTCGACCGATGATTATGAGAAACTGCTGTCGGCATTGAAAGAGGGCAAAATTTCTGGAAGGCCACACACCTCCCAAGATATTGCCGATCTCCAAGCAACCAAACTCTTCCGTGACCGCTACTCGAAATACCTACGTAAGAGTATGCGAGAACCAGCAACAATGATCCAGATGTTAGACGAGTGGCACTGCCGATACAAGGTCACTTCAATGACAGGTGGACCTGCAAAAGGCCGACTTGATCCAGTCAAGAAAGTGTCATTATTTACCAGTGACACCAAATCGGCGGTGGATAACTGCAAGGAGAAAGCGCAACACATAACAGATCCGCTGCCTCTGGAAGACATGTACGTTGCGATCCCACCCAATCCAAACTCCAAGCACCAGCTGACAGAGTACTTATCCAACCGTGGTGAGTCGAAGCTTGAAGCGTTCCATGATCGATTTGCCCATTTTGCCAACAGTGGAATGAGGAAGTCCCTCTGTGACAACCTCAATTTGGCTGGAACGGCTCGGTACAATCTGGGTATCAGACACAAGCGATATCTGTTAGGACTCAAAGACAAACAAAGAGGAGCCATTCCGGCTGGATGGGAGAAAGTTGTACCGTTTTGGAATCACACTGAGCTACAATTTGTCAACAGGATTGCTGCAGCGGCAGGAGTGGCCATTGCTCCTTTTCCCAACGCCGAAAGCTTGCCAGAGGATAATGGTGAGCGATTCTTCTCAGAGTATTTCACAGCTAACAAGCTGAACGTACCCAGTTTTAGTGGCGATCATTGTCGATGTCGTTTGTGTGCAGCTCCACCAGCAGCCTTGGTGATAACTGCTCCACCACCGAATTCAAATCCATCACCACCATCACCAAAACGTCCTCCTCCGGCCATGCCAACCGCCAACAATAATATCACGCCCGCCATTGCAACCGCCACTCATGCAATTAGAAACAACAATTCGAATGCAGCAACATCAGTTAGTAACATCAACGGTCTTGGCGAGCAACCAATTCAAACCTGGGTGCACCAAAATATTGCACCGGCAACCATGATGACGCAACAACAACAACAGATCTATGCTCCAATCTTGCCAATGCCACCAATGCCCTTTCCTTTCTATTATCGGCCACCAATGAGAGGTTGTTGTGAGCGCTACAGAGCTTGGTTGCTTGTGCGTGTTGGAAGACCACCACATGATGGGCATTGTCGATATCGTGAGTGGGTGAATGGATACACATTTGGGTAGCCTAAATAATGAGGAGAAATAGAATCAGATCGGGAGAGAACCCACAAATATTCAAACTGTAGCGATGACACTTTTAATACCGTTTCAGCTTGAGAGAGTGGGGGGATGACTGTGGATTTAAGGTTTCTCACCACTTTCCTGCAAACGCCCCTCTGCTTCATAATTGTGAGAGGGCTGTGACGTTGTGATGATGACGATCGAAGTCACAAGAGTCAGCCGAGGTGCGGAACCTGGAATCTCTCCTCTTCTCTCTCTCTTTCTTCTCCCCCCTCTGGCACCCCTTCGGGGTGCCTAACCCCCCCTAAAAGTTCAAAGCGGGTTTCCGCCTACAAAAAGCTCAGAACAACTCTCCTCTTTCAGTTTCTCTTTCTATTTATTTGCTCTCATCTCACAAACCCAAAGGAACCCAAACGAAACCAGATAAAAACCATGCCTTCTCACCAACAACAGACAAAAACAAACACGATGACTCCTTCGGAGTTCTTTTACACCTTCCATCTTGGCTATACCAAGACCCCCACTGAAGCAGCGGGAGACAAGGCATATGTTCGTCAGATTGAAAACCGCTATGCCGGGGCGATTTGTCTTGCCATTGGCAGTGGTGGAGTCTATACGCAAGAGCAAGTACGTTACCTCCGAGGCTTTGTGACCATTACTTCCCAAGAAGACACAACATTGGTGGACAGGGTGGAGCCAATGCTCAAGGAAGCCGCCGACTTGCTGGACGTGGAGCTGGTTTCCAGCAGCAGCTACTTTACCGATTTACAATTTTTGAAGGATGCTGGGAGGAGCATGGTGTATGACATGTACACTTGTGCAGCACTTGCTGACTTTCCAGAGCCGCAAATGGTGGCCATTTCCTTGATTGCTGAAGAGCTAGGGGTCACTGAGTTTGGACTTCTGGAACAAATTCGAAAACAAGTGGAAATGGAAGTGGAACTGAGAAAGAACCGGATCAAGTTACTGTACCCTGAAGGTCATGACATGCTGGAGCCGCGGTATGCAAACCTTCACAAGGAGAATTGAATCAGTGTTGGGAAAACCGTTACAAGGGGAATCAGTGATGGACTTTCACTAGCCTGAGAACAACAGATAGACCGTCAGACATTCTCTGGTCCGTGGTGGAAGCCAAGATCCAAAGCATACAAAAATAGCAAGAGGCAGTATATATAACCTAACTTCCTCAAAGAGGCAGTTCCTTACAGTCAACGGGGTAAGAGTGCCGACCCCTACAGTACCTAACTACTACAGCTGTACGGCTTGATGGCAACTAGCAACTTTGTAGTTATTTGGTCAGCCAGTTGCTGCTGCGCTACCTTTTTGAGTCTTCCTTCTTCTTTTGAAGAAACATGCCAATGAGTACCCTACTCATGTCACGAATGGTGTCTTCGGCTGGCTGCAGCTCTTGGATGCCCAATTCCTCGACCAGTCGTTGCTCGGCTTCGACTTCCTTGTCTCCAATGGGAATGGCTCCGCCGTCAAACGCGGCATCGTACGAAATGGGCGATGGCGGGGTATACTGCAAGGCACGACTCTCATCCTCCAAAATACGTGCTACCACCGCAGACGACAAGCGTCGTTCCGTGGATACAATGTACCTTCCTTCAATGTCTTCTTGCTCGGCTTGGACGTGCGCTTGTGCGATATCCCGCACGTCGACAAAGAGCCGACTTTGTACTTGCGAGGATCCTTGAATCCACTGCGCGACGAGTTGTGTGGAAAAGGAGGAGCTGCTTGTGGCTGTGTCCGCCAGAGGCCCAAAGACAAAAGAAGGACAAAGTGCTACCATGGGGATCTGGAACTCTTGACAAAGTTGTTTCGCTCGTCGTTCCGATTCAGCCTTGGACCATTGATAACTGGCACCCCAATTGTTGTCGCCCAACTTGGACAAAGTATTCCAATCCTCGTGCGTATAGAACTGTTGGTTCTGCGGTTCCTGTCCCGTGGCTCGTACCGCTGCCATGGACGATGTCACAATGAGTTTGATCCTGTTGTTGCTCTTGCTCATTCGGCTGTTTTTGAATTCTGCCAAGACACGAACAAGATCCTCCGTGCCCTTGACATTGCCTTGTGCCGCTGGAACGTGTTCGTCGGTGGGACTGAACCAGGAAGCAACGTGATGGACACACACGCCATCGGCCGACGCCACACACGGCTCACCAAGTAGAACCTCCTGGAGCGACGTTCCTCCATCCAGCATGTCATAGGGACGTACCAGTACTACTGTATTAGTAGTACACTTGTTGTTGGCCTCTTCTTGTTTCTTCCAGTACTCTTGTTCCTCTTGGACGCGTGACGGTCTGACCAAGCAGAGGATCGTGGTTGTGTCATTGTCGTTTCTTTCGGGGAGGATGTTCCTTTGGATCAATGCATGTGCTACGGCTCGGCCCACGTATCCACTGGCTCCAGTGATCACCGACGCGGTTGATGATGACAATGCCTCCACTACTGGAGCTGCTACTACTACTAGTAGTGCTAGCAGTATTAGACATGATGCAAACGATACTCTTCTTCTTCCTATCAGTGCAGACAAAGGAGAAGCCCTGCTGCAATGACTACTGCTGTGGCTGCGGCTATCACTCTTCCTACTACTATGGTGCAATGGAATGTCGGATTTTGGTCTCATGGTTTGCTTTCTTCCATTCATGTCATGTCAACCTGTCATTCGGTCCTGTCCTGCTTGTTTGTTCTGGTTGTCATACGCAAAGTCTTTTGGGTATCTTTGAACCACAGTATGGTTGGTTGGTTACCTAACTATTTGCTTGCAGACAGTGATAGCTAATAGCTAAGTGTCAGACGAGTGCCGGAAGGAACCAATCAATCAAGGAGCAAGTTGGAATGGGGGTGCCAATGTGCCAATCAATCAACCATTGTGATCGGATGCTGGGATGGATGGTCGCCATGGTTTGTAAGTCCATTAGCTTCAGAATTCTTTTGTGTCACGCTGCGTATCCATCAGTTCAGGGTTCAATCAATCAATGATGTCAGTCAGTCTTAGGGTTAGAACTTTTCCAAACTAAACCTTGGAACAATAAGGCCATTATATATAAACCAGCAGAACCGCTACTAGTAGGCCATTCTTCTTCCTCTAAGTATCTTTTGGCCTTTAAATCTTTTTGTGGATGTGGTACAGAAGAATCTGGTGAAATCTTCTTCTCACTTTTCCCGGCAACAACCTGCTCTTTCTTGTCGATTGACCATGGCAAGGGTCCGTTGCTACCTGTGGCGCACTTTTGTTCTTATAACTATACCATCTTTGCTGCAACCATGCCTCAATATCGACCTTACCATTATCAGCTAGGGCTGCTGCTGCTTCTCTTGCTAGAAAAACACACCGTCATACTAGCCACGACGTCCTCCTCGACCAACACCAACACCACAACTGCTGCACGGCACGATTCTGCCTTGTACAATCGTCTTCGAGGCTACTATGCACTACAACAACAGCAACAACAACCACCACTACATGTAGAACGCATCATTGACAAGGGCGCTATAGCTCAATTAACGGAAAAAGGCGTCGATCCCTCTTCGGATCAATTCGTCTATCATCCTCCCGGCCACGAAGCCAATCACAATGCGTATCCATTCTTTGGTCATTGGTCGCATGCCATGTGCGGCGTCTCCATTGTCCACGACGATATAGTCCTCACGGCGGCCCACTGTGGTCGCAAGGCGATGGAACCCCATTGGCGCAAGAGTATGCGGTTCTTGAGCAAGTTTCGAAAAGAAGGCGGCATTACCCGAGCAGTGGCGCACATGGAACCGCATCCCGACTTTTTTCAGCCGCAGCAAATTTACGACTTTCAATTGGTCAAGATCCAAGCCAGTGCGTTGGTAGCTACCAAACATGACGACAACAACAACAAGCAAGTGGGGGCACCCACGGGAGTCCAAATTGTCAAACTCAACTACGATTCCAACAAACCAAAACCGGCCGACGAAGTGCAAGCGGTGGGATTCGGGACCGTTACTCCCGATGGGAGTACTGGCAATTCCCGCGTCTTGATGGATGTTACCCTGCAAGCATTTTCCAATGAACACTGTGAACGACAATACGGTGGTCAAAAGATCAAAGGAGATGTCATGATTTGTATTGGGAGTCTCGATGGATCCAAAGATACCTGTCAGGGTGCGTATAGCAGTATCGAGCAACCTATTGTGTATGTGTGTTAGTCGCCAGAGACTAAGATTTTTTGCTTTATTCTTTCTATCCATGCATACTCAGGCGACAGCGGTGGTCCCATGCTGGACATTCACAATGTACAGGTTGGTGTGGTGAGCTGGGGTGAGGTAAGCAAACTACTTGCAGAGAGTGCAGTGCATACATCACATACATGGTGCAAGCTTGGCTCAAAAAGACAAATCGGCCTACTCTACTCTCTTTGTACTACAGGGCTGCGCCGAGGCAGATCATGCTGGATTGGCCAGTCGAGTGAGTGCCGTCACGGACTGGATTGAACGAGAAATCTGCCGCCTCAGTGCCATGCCTCCCAAAACATGCATTGAGCGGAACATGCCCACCACCTGCTTTGACAAGCGATTGCCTTCGGGAGACAGTGAAGATGACAAGGGAACCTTTCAAATGCGGGTCACGGTACAACACGACCATTCTCCAAAGGAAACTTCCTGGAGTGTGACCCATATCGAAAGTGCAACACTCTTGTATTTTCAACCATTTGAAAGTGTCCCAGAGCCATTCGTTGACGTGTCGCATGTCTTTCACAACCTTGTCGCGGGGACCTATAATTTTGCGATTAGTGATACCGAAAAGGATGGCCTATGCTGCGAGTTTGGAGAAGGCAGTATCGTGATAACCAACCACGGGACTGAGCAGGTTTTGTGGGAGCATAATGGCAAGTTTGAAGAGTTCCTCGGAGTCACTATCAAGCTCGATGAGGCAGGCAATGTAGTTTCGCTCGAGGAAACTACCGAATGGATCAATCCGAGTGTCCGTGTCAGCAAGGCCAATGAGGACAAACTCGCAAATGCAAATGGCGATGCCACAGCAGGGAACAACGAAAAGCTGGATGGATAGTAGAATCATAGTAGTTTGTGAGGGGCACTGCCAGCCATGGCTGTTACCGAGTTGCCAAATTATTGGTTGGGCCCATAACTATAGCCACTTTCCGGTAGACTACTCCGTAGCTAGCTAGTATCCAGGTTGAGCGAATTGTCGCCAGCAGCCAAGTCCAATACCCCACACTGAAAGCTATGGAGTACCACAGCAGTATTCGGGGTCGTCCAAGCAAAGACGGCTGCTAGACCGAGTGGGTGCAAAGCCAGCAGCGCGGGGGAGGACACGGCGTGTTCCGGGTTTGCACCAGTGATACTGTGACCAAGCCAGCATCTGGCTGGGGGTTGTATCGTCAATAACTGTGGCTAGTAGCCTACTTGTCGCTTTCTTTTTTCAAGAAGAGTGGGAGATCAGTCGTTCCAGCATGCTTTGTAGTTTGAAGCCTCCTTGTAAATAGGACTTGATGCACGCTTCTTCCTACAATCTACTCCAGAGTATTAATAGCTATCCACCTATCTATCTATCTAGCCGTCCACTACTAGCTAGCTATCCGCTGGCTACTGGAGTAGAAAGAAGCGAGAATCTTCAATAATCCATGGCTACTGAACTGTTTTGCAATCGCTCTTTGACGAAGCCGCCGACTACTACTGTGGGTTTGTAGGTGCCTGAACCCCGACAGCTACCTGGTAACGAGCAGTACATGTACATGCAACTCCGCAACTCGCATAATAAAAACGACGTCCATTGTTCAAGATTCAAGCAAGGCGATATCAAAGGTACAGTACTAGTCACCCGAACCTACTTGCTTTTGACCACTGGCTAGCTAGCTACTTGGGTCCGATCCAGCAACCCAGAGCCATCGAAGGTCAATGGAACTGGAGGGCAACCGAGCTACAGTGAGATTGCAGAGGTAGAGAGAGTCCTCAACCTGTGGGCCTGTGGAGCCATCAAGCCATCAAGTACATGCAGCCATCAGCTAGTCCGGGTTGGATCTTGGATGGGAGTTGAAGCCACAAGAGTCCTTATTCAATGGCTTCACCAATTAATTAGCAGCCGACCAGTAGCCTTGAGTAGCCTCGATTACTCCGTTCAATAGGGATTTATTGACAAGATTTATTGCCTCCAACAACATTCTTTTCACATTGCCACAATTATTATCACCCATCCTCGGTATTCTTTCGAAACAGAAAGAATAAAACATATTATCTCCTGAATCATTTAATGATGCTTCTTCATGGCACCCAATTAACGCAGGTCCCAGGTCATTGTACGTACCCGTATACCCGTATGCACAGACTTACTCCGACAAAGAAAGATCTACTATCTACTGAGTACGTGTACTAGCGTACTACTAGCTAGCTACCGGTACCATAGGTAGGGGCGTTTTCAATAATTATTTTAAAGAAAGAAAGACAGGGGAGCACTTCACAGGACATCGATCGTCTCCAACCAGTCGTTACCAGTCATTAAGGGGCATTAAGTCTAGCTAGCCCCCAGCAGTACCGGACCAATTTGAATGCGTAAAATGTCCATTTTTAATTGCTAGTAGCTAGGTAGCTAGCTAGCTAGCTAGCTACTAGCTAGAGTAGCTAGTAGTCATAAGATCATTGCTTTTTAATTCGCTGTTGCAGTCTTGCAGTCTTGCCTGTTCGAAGCGATTCGATTCGATTCATCATTCGTTCAGTGTTCAGTGCAGGTAAAAACAGCTGAAAGATCACACAATCAGGGATGCGTTAATTAATTCACTTACTGCCGAAAGTGTGATTGCCTAATAGCTGATTGCCTAGTGATCGATCAATAGCTTTAATATCTCACCGACCTGCCGGTCCGCTCATCGTATCATACCTCATTGCAATCGTGCAATCATCAGAAGGTTCTTTGCTTCTTTCACCCCTCCCGATCTTCCTCTCTCGGACCTCACAATCCCTCCTCAGCCCGAGTTGCAATCACTTTTTTTTACCATTATCACCTACATCACATCCAGTCGTCACCATGATGCCGGACCATATTCAACAAGACCATGATATGAGTGAAGCTTCGGAACACATGTATGCTACCAGTAGCAATGTTGATTCCCAGCGCAAGGAAGAGAGAGATGTCATTGCCAAGCAGGAGAGTCAAATTGTGTTTGTGTTTCGCCTGTTGGTTGTGACTGTCTTGGTCATCTCTGCCGTGACTGTCTCCTTGGGTGTCTACTTCTACACTACTGGCCAGGAGAAGACTTCCTTTGAAGCCAGGTTTGACTCGGATGCCACAAAGATTCTAGAGACGTAAGTGTGTTACGCCATCGCTGATCCGTCTGTTGCAAGCCATGGCATGACTCAACCACTCAATCACTCACTCGAAATGACCCTTCTTATTGACCATGGACATGCTATGTAGGATTGGGACCAGCTTTGAACAGACGCTTGGTTCTACCGATGCCTTTATCACCCAGCTCATTGCGTATGCTCGCTACTCCAACTCCTCCTGGCCTTACGTCACCATGCCGGCCTTTGCCATTCACGCTACCAAGCTGCTCAAGCTCTCCAAGGCCTTTTACTTTTCCGTGTATCCCTTTGTGGAGCCATCCCAGCACGACGAATGGCTGGACTACACCAATGAGACCAATGGGTGGATCTATGAGAGTCTTGATATTCAGGCCCGTGACAAGGACTGGTGGGGGGCCACAGAGACGGAATGGAGTCACAGGCATGAGATTTATTCTTCAGGGGGGAAGAAAGCAGATGAACCCCATGACTACATGTAAGTTCGCTCTCGTTTTGTGTTTCCCTTAACCAAACTTGACTTGTTGTTGTTACCACCATGTGACTGACTTTTTGCCATTCATCACAGGCATGAGATTTATTCTTCAGGGGGGAAGAAAGCAGATGAACCCCATGACTACATGTAAGATCGCTCTCGTGTTGTGTTTCCCTTAACCAAACTTGACTTGTTGTTGTTACCACCATGTGACTGACTTTTTGCCATTCATTCATTCATTCATCAGGAACAACTTCCTTCCAAGCTGGCAAGTTCATCCCATGGTTCCCAGTGCTGGTTATGGCTTCCCCTACAACTATGATATCTGGGACATTCCCGAGCTTGCTCAAGCCATTCTCTACGCTGATGAGCACAAACGCGTAGTGGTGTCTCCCCAAGTGAATGCGGTATATGACCCCACAAGTGAAGAGTCCATTGATTCTGCAGCAGGTCAAAACTACTGGGCATCATCCTATACCCATCCCGATCTTGACAATGCAGAGCCATTCAGTGTCATCACCTTCCCCATTTATGACAGCCTAGAGTCTGTTACCCTGGACCTAAGCAAGAACCATACCTTTGTGGGCATTGTCACCTTTTCCCTCTATTGGAGAGAACTCATCCAGAACATTCTCCCCAAAGGCTCTGACGGAGCTATTGTGGTCTTTGAAGATCCATGTGCGCCTGCCTTTACATACCGCCTCGATGGACCCAAAGCAACCTGGCTGGGACCAGGAGACTTGCATGATCCTGCCTATGATCACATGAAGCACTCGGCCACACTTCCGGATATTGCCAATGTCCATGGTCAACAGGAAGGCTCCTATTCCACTTATACGGGCCTCCCCATTGCGGAGGACTTTTGCACAAGGACTATCAGCGTCTACCCGTCCAGTGCCATGGAAGATCATCACCAGACTGAGGACCCTGTCCTTTTTACAATTGTTGCCGCCTGTATCTTCCTATTTACTTCTGCCATCTTTATCATCTATGACTTCTGGGTCAACAGGCGTCAGCGAATTGTCATGCAGCGAGCATTGGCTTCCGGGGCCATCGTGTCATCCCTCTTCCCTGAGAATGTGAGAAAGCAGCTCTACAAGGAAGAAGAACACAAGAAGGAGAATGAGAAGGCAATAAAGGATTTCATGTTCCCTAAGATGGGTACAAATGAGAGTAGCACCATGCAAGATGGCAGCTTGACTTCTTCCCGGCCAATTGCAGACCACTTCGAGAACACTACCATCTTATTTGCAGACCTAGTGGGCTTTACTGCGTAAGTTTGTTGCCGATCTTCCCTTTTTTTCTTCTTTTGCGGCAACTTGACGGTCTTACATGTCTTTTCTTGTTCATCCCCTCCAGTTGGTCTGCGAGCCGCCAACCTGTGGAAGTGTTTGAATTGCTGGAAAGTGTTTATGGCCAATTTGATAAAATTGCACTAAGGAGGAAGGTGTTCAAGGTGGAGACTGTAAGCCTCAGCTGCAAACCTTTGTCTGCTGCTTCAGTGCTTTTTATCTCATCTTTTCTTCATTGAATCTGCGCCTGTAAAGATTGGAGACTGCTACGTGGCTGTCACAGGTGAGTGAAGGGAATTGTGTGTTGTTCTCATCACAACAGCATCCATGATGCAGCATGTCACTCACTTTTTGCCCTTTTCTGAATCTCAAAGGAATCCCCAATCCGCAGAAAAATCATGCAGCCATCATGGGCAGGTTCGCGAGTGATTGCATGGTGGAACTAAGACAAGTGACACGCAATTTGGCCGACAAACTGGGTGAGGACACCATCAAACTTTCAATGAGAGGTGGCCTCCACAGGTGAGTCATGAATACCAAAAAATTGATGTCCAATCTCCCAAGGCATGTATCCCTGACTCCAGTGCCAATTATGTCTGTTTTCATAGTGGCTCTGTCACGGCAGGTGTCTTGCGTGGCGAAAAGGGACGCTTTCAGGTAAGTTGGTATTCACCTCAATCGCTGCTTTTGGTGGATTCCAGGGGATGATCTCAAATAGTGCCTTCCGTTTCATTGGCTCGTTTTTGCCTTCTAGCTGTTTGGAGATGCCGTGAATACTGGTAAGCCCTCAACAAATGGGAACTCAATGAGTTTGCGTGGGTCGTTTGCTAACGCTCTTGCCTCTCTCCTTGTCGGTTGCAGCTGCAAGAATGGAGCAGAATGGTGCCGCAGGAAAGATTCATATCTCACAGGAGTGTGCTGATGCTCTCCGAATGGTTGGCAAAGGCAAGTGGCTTGTTCCACGAGAAGACAAGATTATTGCAAAGGGCAAGGGAGAGCTGGATAGTTTCTGGCTGGTGATGTCAAATGGTGCTGAGACAATGTCCCAAGGAACTGGCATTTCCTCAGACTGTGCAGCCCACTTCAGGACTACAGGTTCAAGTTTTGGTCTTCCTCCTCCCCTTGATTCCTCAATTGCTCACCAGGATGTCAATGGGGATTTTGAAAAGGTTGTAGACGTTTGATCATTGGGTAGCTAAAGTGGGCAGTAGCTCACATAAAAATACATGTACATTTGACAACAACATTTGCAGTACTGTGGGATTTTTCGTTCATTGGCCTGTGACGATGAAGGGGGATGACTTCGATGCCATCTCCCACGCAGCTGGCACTCATCGCACTGTTTTGTTCATGGACAAGCTAGCTAGTTCGTCGTTGCTTTCCCGCATGGTATAAGGTTCCCGTTTTACGTGTTCGAACTGCAGCCTGCCCTGTTCCGCTGAAGACGACTTTTCGAGTGAAGTGCAACCCAGGGTGGCCACAGGTCGTCGGGGCTCCTCTGCATTATCCCACCATAGCTAGGTTCTTCATCCTGCCTACCTAGCTAACAGCTATCGGTAACGGTACTTGGGAGCAAACACTGGCAAAACAAAATAATCAAGGACGACGTGGAGGTATCGACTCTCGAGGGCGACGTCGCGCCTTTCGAAAAGTGGAGTTTCGTGTTTTCATGCAAGAGTTGAATCGCCAAACTAACGGTTTCTAACAAAAAGATCACCGAAAGAGAAAGTGATCACCATGATGCCGCCATCATCAGAGCATCATTTGCAGCGACCATGTGGAGGGTGACAAGGTTTAGAAACACACATGCTTTCTTCTTGACACTGGTGTTGTTGGTAGCAACGAGCAGAGCTGCCACAAGCAGTAAGGCACTTCACAAAAAGGGAGACCCCTACCTGTTGAAAGAGAGAATCGAACCGGTAGTACCACCACCGCAGGATGGCATCAGTTTCAGCGGAGCAGTCGAAATCCTTGGGGATACCACCTACAGCATCATTGGAGGCATTCCTGTGAACGATCCGCAACAATTTCCATACTTTGCTTTCTGGAGTGTTGGTTGCGGCGCTTCGCTGATTGCCCCTGACATGTTGCTGACGGCGGCCCACTGCCAGGAAGGTTACGAAGACCCGATCTCAGGCCGTCTAGTGTATCTGGGATCGACAGGTCTGAAACAAGGCATTAAAAGAAGAGTTGTCGAGATGCTGGTGCATCCGTCGTATTCAACACCTACAAGTCTTGCTTACGACATGATGCTACTCAAACTAAACGCTTCTGCTACGCATTACTGGATCCACAACGAGGCTGGAGAAGGATGGAGCAGATTATCCAACCGGCTGTCTCTCGCTCCTTTGAACCCAAACTATGTGCGGCCTCAGTCCGGAGACGAGTTGATGGTGGTAGGCTTTGGTAGCACCTCAAACACAGGGAATCTTGTTCCACACTTGCAACACGCCAATGTTACCAAGCTTGATGACAAGGCATGTGCAGATGCTTATGGAGGTGCATACCATCAACCCTCCATGATCTGTGCAGGCAACGTAGGAAGGGATTCTTGTCAAGGTAGCTTTTGGAACAGCGTGGCCGGCTTTTTGGGATTGCTTATTCTCTGCCACTGACAATCTATCTACGCTCCTTCAATCCCTGCAGGTGACAGCGGAGGTCCTATAGTGAACAACGATGGCGTTCAGGTTGGAATTGTGAGTTGGGGTATAGGGTAAGTAGGATGGTACTACGGCAATGCTTACACTTGACGACGAACAGACTCAACAACTTGCCCGTTGTGCCACAGCTGTGCTCAGCCAGACAACCCGGGAGTGTACTCCCGTATAAGTGCCGCCAGATGGTGGATCAATGATATTGTTTGCCGTAAAAGTTGGTGAGTGGAGGAAGGAAGTGGGCTTTGTAGTTGGTTTGTACAGTACTGTCGTCTTACGTCGTTTCTCTTTTGTGGCAGTTACCCTCCGACCTGGTGCGACGTATCCATCCGGCATCAATGCTCCTTCGCTTCGAAAACGCCGAGAGCGCCACCGTCTGGTCCTTTAAGCTTGACAATCACATTGACAACTGATTACTATCCACAAGAAGTGGGAGCCATTCTTCGACACATGGAAAGCGATTACGAATACTTGTTTCAAGGCTACAATTCTCAACCATTCGTACGAGATGGACGTCTCGTCTTTGAACACAATCTTACCCACTTGCCACCAGGAGAGATTTACTTCGGAGTCTTCGACCAAGGCAGCGACGGACTCTGCTGTTCATGGGGCGCTGGAAACATTCAAGTAACCGATGCCAACAACGGCGAGGTGATCCTGAAAAGCGACGGCAACTACCGCAGCAGAACAGAATGGATTATGAAAATCGACGAGCATGGACAAGTGGTGTCTATTGATCACACCTCTAGGGGCAGTGAAAGCGAAGAGCCCGAAATTGTGGACAACGGCTGGCCCTTCAATCCAGAAACAGACGATCCCAACTTTCCTGGCGCTTATGCCCGCACTGATTCCGAGCTTGTTATCAATGTTCGATATGATCTTTACCCCGAGGAAACGACGGTTCAATGGCAGGAGCTTTCTCTTGACGGCAGCGTCCTCGCCATTGATGCTTGGGAAACAGTCGACGTTCGCAGCAGTAGTACTGGCGCCTCCTTACTGGACCAGGAGATCACTTCCTACACACAGCAGACGAACGCGAGTTCACTCTATCGGCTTCGAATTACGGACACCTTGCATGATGGGACTTGCTGCTTCTTCGGCAACGGATACTCCACCATCACAGATACCTCTGCTGTACTTTGGCATGGTCGGGGCGACTTTGGGGTCATGCAAGAAGCTTACGTTTTCGTAAACGAGCAGGGGATGGCCAAATCGGTAGTGCCGGTGCATATTCCCGGAGTGGGTGATCTCGTCGTTCTTGAGCGTGATAGTGACGAAAGCTCAGGTGGGTCCGCAACAGCAATACTGGTGAACCAAGAAGCATGAGAAGCTTTGCATTGCTATTGATGTATGTCGACAAACTCATGAGTGACGAGTCGTGATGCTGTCGAGGTCCGGGCAACCGCGGGGAAGTTTCATTGGGAAGGCACATAGACTTACTAACATGTTGTAGAGGGGCAGCTGCTATGGCTTCATGACTTCGACCGATCTGGCTGTGCCTACTTCGAATTAGTCGTAAGCCGTCGCGTGAGATGAAGATCAGGATTTGCATCGATGAACTATGGAGTGGTCGTCCTTGGGCCTGCATGAGGTCGTTCTCGGGTCTGGGCTGCATGCATGCCCCAGTCCTTCAGCGAAACTTCGAGGGCCGGACGGTCAGATAACTTTTCCAACAAGCCGCTTGTAGTTGGCTGAGAGTTTGGCTGGCTGCCTGGTGTGCATGAAGGTCGTCGGTTTCTACGTTATTGGCTGCTTCCGACAGTAGTACATAAAGCTTCTGCCTGCTAGTACCATCTGAAAGCGGCATGGATTCTCGGTGGAACCCTCGGTTGCCAACCAGCCACTGAAGAAGCACGATAACGAAGTTCTACTGGTGGCTAGGTTGTCTTCAATCTTCAATCATTAGCTCACGAGCTTACGATGTACCGAGCGACACTACGGTAAAACGACGCAACAACCATCCAGATGCCAGCAGGAGAGGAGCACCCATTCTTCTTCGAAGCCCATAGCTTCAGTTCTACTCGATTGTAATTGCCACATCGCCAAAGCTCAGTATTTGGGCCATAATACTTGACTCGGGGATCTCAATGGAAGCATGCCCGAGCTGGAGAGCTCTCTGCACTGTGCAACCGAAAGTTTAAGTGCTCCTGCGTCATCGGAGAGCTCTTTAAAAAGTCTTCGTGGCTTCTTTTTTTCTTTGTTTTTTAAGAAGAAGGGTGCAGCGCTGGGTGTCTGCGTGTCTTCTGCCTGTTCCAGAGCCCTTCAGACGAGCAGACAAAAAAACTACTACCGGTAACCGGCAGCATTCTTTCGCAACCACCTTTGCTTCGTCAGAGATCCTTAGTTAGGTTGCCCTCGAGCAGTCTTCGTTGAAGCTAAGGCTTCTACATAGTAGAGCGATTAGTCTGGCTACTAGCTAGGAAACATCTCCATGTGGCAACGCCAACTAGTACAGTATCACTAGATCTTCTTCCCAATAGAACAAAAGCAGTTTTGCCTCAATCCAAGACCAGCCAATTGGACGAGGCAATGCATTCCATGTTTGGATCCTTTCCTTCTTGTAGCACCAACATATTGCCAACTTTCGACTTGGTGCACTCTGATGATCAGATCATCTTCAATTGCCAACAATCAACAAAGTCATGGACAGCTGGCCGCATCAGCTCTGAGCTCTGAAGCCTGCTCTGAACAGATCCGATTTACAGTGGTCATGGATTCTTCTTTTAGAGTATGCTGTACTCACTAAGTCTTGACTGAGAAGAAGGAAGAATGGTCGATTCGTTGAGGTGGCTTTGGAGGCGTTCCTAGGAGTATAATACGAATCGATGAGACATAATACCATGATGCCGACCTCAAGCCTAAGGGAAACTGGAAAATAAAATATAGCTAATAATATATAATATATACTGTACTAAAGATACGTAAACTATCCCTTAAAACTGGAATTGGATAGTAATGTGGACTCGCCTCCGACGTCAGCGAACTTCATGTGCGACGTGCCACAAAACCAGCGGTGCTCTTTTACAGCTTCTTTTTACTTGGTATTATTATGGTATTATTCTAGATCATTTTTTTGGGGACTACCTGTAGTCAGTACCGTACGCAGTAGCTACGCAGCACTAGTCTAGCTAGTACAGTATTTTAAATACCGTGGATGGAGCCCTTGTGCATTGTGCTCCCTTTACGGTTTACGGTAGTACGGGTAGAGTCCGACGACACTGCGAGATTCTTTTCTTTTAAATCTGAATGGCTCATCATTTGAACGAAAATGCGATCCTCAAAAATGCTTTTCTAAAGAGCTCTTCTTCTCTCTTCTCTTCTTCCTTCAAATAGGGCTTCATAGGTAGGATTGTGTCAGCAGAATTCTTTTGATAGAAAACCGGGACTAAGTATAGAATACTTTACAGTCGGACTGTGATGGTGGAACTGGGGAGAGCAGGATGGTCATCATTGACAAAAACCAGGTCTCGGTGGGAACGTTCCTGTACGATCCTTTGTTTGGATGGTCAACGGCTACCTAAGAATTGCTTGGTACAGTACCGTGGCATAGCTGGAATATTGCACACAAACTTCGCCCAGCTAGCTTCGCATAGCCTTCGCATTGAACACTGACTCATTCACGGTGCTGGTCTCACAAGGCACAACGTAGGTACCGTACGGAAGCCACTGATCCGAACCCTCCGTTCTATTTTCTTATTTTCTTTGCTCCTCACAATTCAAACAAAACAAAGATTCTTCATGTACCTCTTCTTTCGCCACAACTGAGTTCAAGTCACCATGGAACCTTTACGTCAAGCCACTGCACTCAATGAGCAAGGCATTCACCTTGTTACATCTGGCCAACCCAATGAGGCGCTCAGGTGCTTCAAGTCTGGATTGGCTCTGCTAGCCACCGTTGCGGCTTCAGAGGAAGCTCCCGTCATTTCCCCACCTGCCAAATTCGGAGGCACGACGGCAAGTGCCAACACCAGGATTGTGGTGAAAGCCACGGACAATGATGTATTCTTTGAGATCTCCTCAGTGGAATCACATCATGGTGTGCTCCATCCTTCCACTGACCATCTGTCTCTCTACTGTGCGGCTCTGATCTTCAACTGTGCCATTGCATTGGAGCGCAAAGCCAGCAGCTGCAGCGACCTTGCTGTCGCCTACAAGGTATCTGACAAGGCTCGTCGTCTCTTGGAGCGATCCTTGCAACTGTTGAGCATGATCCATCAAGCAAGGCAATTCAACTGCAGTGAAGCCATTACCCAAGTGGTACGCAGACTAGCTTCACACTTTCACAGGATGGGTGACTATGTCTCTGTGATGAGGTTACTGGACGGTCTGATGCAGTTGGGGATTGCTTCAGCAATTGTTCTAACGTCCGACGGTGACGATGCTGATGATAAGGGATTTTGTTCCTTTGTTTGAGAGAGATCCAGCTTCTCCTAATGACTATGCTGGCACACCTGTGAGTCCTCCCAATGAATATGATGACACACCTGTGAGTCCTCCCAACGAGTATGGAACGCCTGGCACACCAGTGGATGCCGCTCCACAGTACTCTTATTCGGTCTCACCCGGAAAGGAAGAGGATGAGTACTATCAAGATCATCACCCAGAACAATCGAGAGATGATCAATACTATGATACACCAGAGGTAATGACTCCTGATGGCCTCAAAGAGCAACCTGGCAGTCAAGATCACGAATTTTTCAATGCTCCTTCGGTTGGAGAAGAGGAAGATGATACGACAGCATCCTCGTCCTTTGATCCTTCGGGGACATTGGGCGCCATCCCGACGATTATCCACCAGATGACTACCAGCATGCCAATCCCGGTAGCCCAGGATACTACGACGACGAAGAAGGCCATTCGAGGCTTGAGGTTCAGGAATCTTCCAGTGCCGAGTACTTTCGCGGACACGAAGATGACAGTCCCTCGCCGATCAAGATTGATCACCTGCGTCGCTTGGGTCGCAAGAAGGGTGGCGCCCCTCACAATGGCAATGTCAGCGTGACAAGTCCATCGAGTCAAGCCAGCAGTCAAAACTCCGTCAGTGAATATTCTCATTCCTCTGCCATGAGAGGTGCTCAAGAGCTGTTGAAAAGAAATCGTCAAAGGAGACATGAACAGTGAGTATATTGCCTTACTTGAAGGAATTGTGGGCGTTTCCCTTGTGCGCAATGGCTGTACAAACTAATCCCATTCCTTCTGTTTTTTGCTCAGAGCTCGAAGGCGGCTGAATGCCAGCAATAACGAAATTCGTACAAACAACTCGGTCGAAACAGAAGGAAGTCCTGCCAAGTCCCCACCCCACTATGCGTTTTCGCCGGATAATGGATATCATAGAAACCATAGTGGAAACCGCAGCGGTCCACGTGGAGACGACGGCAGCGCGTCAACGTGGGAGTCTGGCAATTCCGAGGCTTTGACTTCGGTGATTTCCGGGTCCTCTGTCTGGACTGACAACTCTTCCAATCCAGCCGATCGGAGCTCACGGCGTGCTCTAATTCTTCAAATGCCAAGGCCAGAATGAAGAGCAACAAGGACCGTGATCCAGCCGAGAAGACCATCAAGGAAGAAAAGTCGAATTCCCTCGACGATCATGACGACTACGATGATCACAGCGACATGCGGCATCCAGGGTTAACTGATGCACCAACTTCTTCCGCCACAGATCTGGACATTGCTGCGGACCTGGATTAGGTGTGAAGCGAATGAATGGCTGGTCAGACATGGCAAAGGTGCTTGTGGCTACGTTTGTGTGAAGAATCAGGCGCAACAAAACGTTGTTGCTGCCTTGGACCCTAGACTGCTGTTATTTGGAAGAGTATGTTATTTCTGTAAACTTTAGACTGCACACTGTAGTTATTCCATTGCTTTTCAAAGGAACCGTTGTTGGGTTGGGGTTCATATAGCATTCCGGTTGCTGTACATGCTAGCTAGAATTGGGTCTCAAAAAATCGCTTGCCGTCCTTGGTTGCTTGCTTTCTGCGCCTGGGAAAGAGGCTTGTAGCTCATGGAGTAAATCCGCCCGAGCCACTCGGCTGTGGTTGGTTAGTTGGCCAGGTGTCAGTCCGCACAGGTGTCTTTCGCTTCATCCGTCACTCGCGGACTGACTTTTGGCGCAGTGGCTTTGCCATCAATAATTTATTTCCCTACTCTAAAAACCCCGTTATATTCCAGAGAACAAGAGAAGCTTGCTTTCAGCCCAGGACTTTCCTTCAGGATGGAGAGAAGCGTGGCCGATGCCGCCCACCGCTCAACTGGCGGTGGTACATGTACGTCAACAACTGGTTTTGGTGCAAATGCATGTATGTCCAATCAAAAACCCAGCCTTTCACTAGTGGGTTCTTTTGTTCTTTTTTAATGATAGTTAAATCTATCTGGCTAGCTCTCTCTAGCTAGACGTCTAGCTAGTATCACCAGATTAACTTAAAAATTACAGAGGCCCCGAGGGGATTACGTTGCATCTACTAGTAAGAGTAGATTTGGCTAGCTACCAATCTAGCTCCCAGCCACGTGTTGTTGCTTGATTTGCTATGGTTGTTGCCTGGGTGGTGTTGTAGACCTACAATGATACATTCTTTGTCGCAGTTAGAATTAACATTAGCAGTACTGCTTGTCATGAGGTCGCTAGCTAGCATGTCAAAAATGGTTATGAATGTGCAAATGTTGGGCAGCAGCAGCAACAGCAACTTTTGGCCAGTGCCCAGCTGTGGCTTTCGTGCATGTTGGCAAGCCAGGAAGCAATGGCAAGCACTCGTCAGGAGGGTCGAGTCCGTCAAAGTTCACTTGCTCGTTTGCCTGCCTCATGCAACTGGCGCGTGTGCGG